CTTCGGCTGATAATGATATACCCAGAACCCTTATAGGCCTATCATGGGGAACATGTGGCGAATGCTGTAAATATTATGTTATGGAAACTCCCCTCTGAGTCTAATTTGAATGTTCGTAGTACACAGGATCTCATTTCCAGGATCACAGTGTTGAATCAACGGGTGAAAAAAGACGAAATGTTGATTGGGTCATCTTTCGATATTAAGGAGATGTTTTCCAATCTCTCTCACGATTCTATTCTTAGGGCACTAAGATGGGTAATAGATTTTTGGGAGGTGAAGGGTTTCAGAGGAGTGGAGATAAAATCAAGAGGCAAAGAAGCCAAGTTAATCCGTTCTCGCAAGGAGGATGGTTGGGTGCTATTATCTTCCGGGTCGATCTTTAAATTAATTTCTTCTGAATTAAGAAATTCTTACGTAGTTATCCCGCAGAAACTGGTTCGACAGACCGTTGGGATCCCGATGGGAAATCCTCCAGCCCCGCTTTGGTGTGCTTATTGTGCACCTTCAATAAGTTTAGATCCTCCCTCGGTAATGATTCACGGTTGTTCTACGGGTTTCGTCTTGTGGATGATGTGTCTGTCCTTGCGATTTTTTATTATTATTATTTTTATTTTTATTTTTATTTTTTTTCCCTAAAAAGTCCAGGGTATTGTAGAGGCCAGTTACTAGGCACACGTTTGATTGTAAGAAAGGCTGTGCGCGACCACTGAACCATGGCAAAGAGATGCTACAGAAGTTTAAGTCCTGCCATGACAATAATCTGGTGTTGGAGCAAACAGATCAGGGTGACTTTTGGGATTTCTTGGGTTGTGCATTGAAGGAGCAAAATCGACGGAAAATTAATTTTTCGAAGTATTCAAGATTACGTCTCCTTTTCCAGTCCGCAGCAGAAGCTGGCCGTTATCGGTTCTTTTCTTCATGGCACCAAGACCTTCACCACTGTATCTGGGACCGAGCTCCCTTTTCTTCTTTCATTGAAGATCGAGTTATGGAAGAGATCCTATCCCGATGACTTTTTTGACTCTGCCCTGATCAACTTTTCGAAGAAGCATGCAGGACTGTGGTCCGAGTGGATTCCTGTGCTGACCGATTGGCAACGGTTGTTTCGACGGTCCGCTTGTAGGGCCCGGTGAAAATACTATGGGACCACGTGTTTTTGTGTTGGGCTCGAACCTGGTACCTATAAAATTCGATGAACAGTTCGTCTTTCCTTTCTTTTCTTTTCTTCTTTTTTCTTTTTTCTTCTTTTTTCTTTTCTTTTCTTTTCTTTCTTTTCTAAAGCTTTTTCCGGTACTTTCTCGTATATGAGTAGGGCAGTTGTTCGTTTGACAGATGTTTGGTTCGAGTCTTTTCTCGTGTTCGATGAATTTTTTCGTTTTTTCTTTTTTTGTGTACTCGAGCGTGAAGAAGTATCTAGACAGCCAGGAGTGGTGGGTACTATTGGTATTGACGAAGTTACTCTTGGTTTTGACGAAGTACGACAGACTGAGTGTGCTACGACTTATCTGTTACTTTGACACAGGATAAATACGTACTTCATTTGCTAAGTCCGACGTGCGACCGAAGCCCCTGACGATTGGCTGGTGGCGACCAGCCGAAACCGGTCGGGCACGCCGCTCGGATAGTCTCCAATTCCGCCCTGTACTTCATGCTTATCATTTGCGGAAGTCGCGTTCTGTTTTTTTCACTATGTGCCATGTGTCACAGTCTTTCTTCTTCTTCTTCTTCTTCTTCTTCTTCTTCTTCTTCTTCTTTTCTTTTTCTTTTTCTTCTTCTTCTTTCTTCGCGTCAAGCTGTGTCATGCATGGTCGATGGATGCATCACGATTGTCTCATCTAAGTTTGTGACTGCTTTGCAGATTCACAATTCTCTGCGTGGTAGAGTCGTGGTCCAGATTTTAAGGACAGCACGGCAGAACGAGTTTGGAGGATTTTGGATTTAGGGTTTAGGGTCTGGAATGCGAGTCGAGGAAAATGGAGCATTCCACTGAGAGTCAAGGAGCACGGAGCAGTCCAATGTGTGTACTTCAAAGACTGGGCGAAAGAACGACTCCCTCTACCCTTCAGCTTCTGGAAACAAGAGTAATTAGTAGCAGAGAAGGAAAGCAGGAACAGTTTTTGGGACCAGCCTCCACTTTGCATGTTGAACCCCTTGCCTGTTCATGGAAAAGGTTTTTCTAAAGCGTCAGGTCAAAAAAGGTTAGATATGGGACGCTGGACCCGGTTTCCAGCCCAATGGCGTCACCCTTAATGATGTAGCGTTTTGATCAGATGTATTCATGGGACGCTGGGCCCGGTTCCCAGCAGGTGATGCTCCCCACCAATAGACGGAGCGGCCCGCCAGGCAAAGCCTCAATCCCGGTGGTTCTCTTACCACCACCAGGATAGAGGCCTTGTAMAAGGGCCTKTTCAAAAAAAAAAAAAAAAAAAAAAAAGGTCTAGACTCCCTCCCGCTGGTTGCCTACAAACCAAACGTAGGAATGAGGACGTCTAGAGATCAAGCAGTCAGAAAACCTCAGCAGGTAGCTTCAAGACGGCTGGAGAAGGCTACGAGAATGGGCTGTCCAGCCAGCCAGATTGGCGTGCCTTTTGGAAATCATTTACTACCTGGCTCGCTGCACAGAAAGACGCGAGTCCGCTATGGCTACAGTCCTTCCTGGTGGTTACTACAGCAGTATGATTGAACCAGAAAGGTGTGGAGTTGAATCTGACTTGCAGTCGATGTGACTGATTGGTGATGGGAAAACAACTCGCATCTGTGGGTCTATTGTCCTCTGGCTGATGAGCTGTGGATATGGTGGCTGGATCTAAGGGACAAAACCGCTGGCTTCGCCTAGGCTTGGACGGACGACTGGATTCTATAAGGTATCCTGCCAAACCAAGAAGGAGGCTGCAACAGCGGTTGGGGGTATGTAGCCCTGCATTGTAGGTGGATGATTGTTCAGGAAATTTGGAGGGCGAGAAACTCCCAAGTTTTCAAGAAAAACAAGACTGAATTCAGGATCAACAGCACCAGATAAAGGAGAACATTAGGCGCACTCTTTTGGCGGACTGGCAGGGCTGCCCAAGAAGTAAGAAGGGCTTACTTCGGTTCATGGGTACATGGGCTAAAGAAAACGGATTTGTCTCAGTCTCGTCGAATCGCAAAGTCAAACCCTGACAGCGCCGTAGTTCTCTTTTTTAAGTTTTCTCAAAAAAAAAAAAAAAAAAACTGACTGCGCCGTAGTTTTCTCTTTTTTCATTTTTCTCCTAACATCTCATCGCGATAGTGGGGAAGTTTCAATTTCGTAAAAACGCAATATACTAGAATTACCACAGTCAAAGAATTCTGCTGCTAACATTGTCTCGCTTATCCCCGTTCAGAACGAAGAAGCACTCGGCTCATGAGCCAAGCCAATTAAGTTGCACGTGGTTGAAACGGCAGAAAATAGTACACAACCCACAACTCGCAGATGGTTAAAGGTGGGATGTGTGCGGTGAAGGATGTCATTAGATCCGAGTACCTCTGGGCCTCAAGCCATCCTCCGTGCAAGCCGTGCAAAGCACGGACTCGAACCGGGGACTTCGGCCCCAAGAGGCACCACGTATCGTAACCACTACAGCCAGGACACGGTGTTCAAATTTAAAGTGGAACCATACGGGCCAAGTGATATCCCCACCCACCCCTGCAAGGCTGTAATGTCCACACTCAGCGCACACCACACACAACAATGTCATGACACGGACGCTGGCAATCACCGCGCACACTTCGCTCCAAGTAGCACATGGCCCCCATCGGCAGCACGGCCAGGATTGCATAAGACGGTGCAGGTGATGAGCGACATGAATGCGGCCAGGGTGTCCGTCCAGGAGTTGAAGAGATGGTGCACGTGAGTGGATGGTTGATCGAAAATGGAACGTTGTGACGTGTAACGTATACTTTCCTACATGACGGGTTTTGCTATTGAAAAGGATCGTGCTGGTTTGTCATACCTCTTTTCAAAAATTGGACTCTCCCTGCTGCAAATCCATCCCGCAGACATTTCATGTGCGCAGTGAATTCCTTGTTTATAACTCCAAGCAGTTTTTTCGCGACACGGAAAACGCAGAAAACAAAACGTTTTTTTTTTTTTTCGCGAGACAGACAGAACGGATGGAGTGACAGAGAGACGGAGCGACAGAGATAGAAACAGAAAGGGACAGGGACAGAGAAACATAAGGACAGAATGAGAGAGGACACAATAAAAAAAAGGGTACGGGGAGCTCACTGGACGGACAGAACCCCATAAAATGTCCCTAGAAAGTACTTCTCAATTTTGAACAATTAAAGAACACCTGAAGTTTTATGAGATGACTGTTTTCCTGAATGAATATAACCAAAAAGTGTGGAAATGTGAGTCGCGGAAGCCCTAGTCTGAGTACGCCCTCGAATCTGTTCCCTAAGATACCCGCCGCATATATAGAACGACCCCAAGAGTGGACTTAGTGCCAAAGGACTTAGTGCCAAAGAAGCCTGCCGGCAATTCGAACCGCCGAGCTTTAAAGCTCAAATACATGCAAGGGAGAAAACGAAAATGGATGCATGTAATAACAAACTAAAAGAAAAAAAAAAAAAAAAAATAACAGTAGAAGAGTCACAAAAATAAAAAAATAAAAAATAAAATATAAGGGGAAAAAAAAAAAAAAATTAAAAAAAAAAAAAAAAAACCTAAGCTTGCCCTCGTTGATGACATCAAATTACAGACGTCGATAAACAGGACGCCCCGAATAATCCAGCTAAGAAAATAACTTCACCGCGTCCAGCAATAATCGTGACAGCCTCCAAAACGGAACGAGTCGAAATTTAAAAACAATTTTCAATCCAAATGAACGAAAACAAAAAGAAACAGACCCTTCGTAGTTGCCCTTCCGACCCCCAAGTTACTACGCGCGTCGCAGCTCTTCTGCTAGCACACAATGCATGGGCAAATATACCCAAGCCAGCAAGCTGGGCACAGCTATCTACTTCTCCCTGTACAGCTGACAACAAACAGTTCATTCACTATACGGGTGAACATACCACTCACATTCACGCACTCCCACACCAGAGCGAAAATCTCAGAGACGCTGGACCCGTTTTCCAGCGGGTGCTACTCCCCATCGCCAACGCCAGATTGGAGTAACCACCAACGAAGATTCATGTTCCACATGAGCCCGCATCGGAACCCTTCCGCTTCCCAGATCGTCCTCACACGACGAATACCTATGGAGACAAGGTTTTCTTCATCGGATTAATTACCATTTACCCTCCCGGATGGATCAGCTTTCGCCTTAATCCAAGGGTGCTCGAGCACCTTCTCCAGAACAAGCCTCTTCTTTGGATCCTTAACCAGGAGCTGCACAGAGACGACAGAGAGCCCACAAGACAAACGAATCAGAGACTAAGTTAACCTTCGTCAATGCAGAACAAGCACCATACATCCTCGGGAGAATGAGGTAAATTAAATGTCGATGGGGGGTGGCAGGATATCAAAATTTTCAACACCAACATAGAAGAGTTTTCCAGCAAGACGAATTACTGGAGCCTCCATCTGTCGAGAGCTTCTCTACCGGGAGGGCACATTTCACAGGAGCACAACACGCGAAGCCCGAAAAGAGCAACCGAGGGAGAAAAAGAGGGTCCTGCGAAACCTCTTTTCTACCTACCAGATTCAAACACCACCGACTACACCCCTTCTCCACCCACTCCTAACGAGCAGAGCTGGTTGCTGCCTTTGAGCAGCTGTGGCTTGATCCGGATAGAAAGCTGCCTTATTCCACCGAATACAGCGGACGGTCATTGTAGCTGTATTTAGACTAAAAGATGAACGTGCGTTTGTATTCGGGGGAAGAACTGAAATCCACATCGCCTGCACTGGAAACCCTGCTGGCAAGAAGAAGCCCCCACTGGCAATGGCGCTCTCCACCGACCTTCCACCGACCACTCCCAGGACAGCCCCTTACGAAGTCCCGCCTAGACGGCCCGGTCCCTTGCATCCCACCACATTGCACCACGACAACGGCTCCCTCCACCTCAGGCAGACCATCCCCCC